GAACATGTGATTGGACAATTGAGGAAGGGTGATGTTTTTATGCCGCCCCAACCCCGCCCTCTTTTTTTAAGTAGCAAAGAACTTGTCTGAATTATGTTTAAATGTTTGGTGGAAGGTAGGACTTGTAATGAACTTAAATATATGGCTAAGGAGATTTCTAAGCAAGATCTTAAAGGGGCCATGTGGCTTCTCCTTGCTGCTTATAGTAAAATGCAAGAGGAAAGAGATGGACTTAAAAATGAACTGTGCAAAATGGGGGCGGGGGGACTTAAAAGATTTGGAGGATTTTATTGTACAGACTAAGGACATGCATCTTAGAATTTTCACCAAGGATGTGGCTACACAATCTTTTATTAAAGAGACTGAACTTATGACCGATGGATCTAAGCAACTACCACAGCAGAAAACACATCAGCGTAGACTGAAGGGAACAGAAAAAGAAGGAAAGAATGCTGTCTGCCTCTTGGAATTCTAAAGCCTGGAAGCAGGCCAAAGAAGTTATATCTGTTGTCCTCCAAAAAAAGAAAAGCACTATCCCTGGAGTAGCTTGGAGATCAGTAGAACTGTTGGAGGGAGCACGGGAAGTAGCGACTTCACGGTTTCAAAGGGTGGAGCCATGGTCTCCTGGATCTCAAAGGGTGGAAGCCTCCTAGCTTTCAAAGACTAAGTAAGGTCTTTCCAACGTGGTTCCTGCAAAGCGTGAGGCTGCCATTAAGGTGTGTCAGGAGGATGGGGTCACTGCCCAAAGCTGAGGGGACAGGGCTGCCATGCACAAGGAGCAGAAGAATGGGGCCTGCTGAGGCTGAGGCCGTAGTGATGCCACTCTGGTGGACTGAGAGAAAAGGGCTACTCAAAGCAAAGGGAGCAGAGTTGCCATCTCTGGTGGGCCTGGAGGGTGGAGCTGAAGCCCAGGACTGAAGGGTCTCCCCCAGAATCTAGAGACCATGGCCAACACCCAGAGTTTTGAAAGATAGGCTATCGCTCAGATGGTATCAGAGAACAGAGGATTATTTCCAAGCCTTGAGAGCTAATACAAACTGTTCTGGGTTTTGGATTTGCTTGGTGCCTATTATCCATTCTTTCCCTTCAATTTCTCCCATTTATAATGGGAATGTCTACTTTGTGCCTGTTTCACCACTGTACTTTGGAAGCAGACAACTTGTAGTCTATATTTCACAGGTTCACAGATGATGAGGAATTTTTCCCTGGGATGCAATAAGCCTAAAGTTTCACCTATATTTACTTTAGATGCTTCAGAAGATGAGATTTTTTAGTTGATGTTGAGACTTTTGGGATGATGTGATGGTGGTGAATGTGTTTTGCAAGTTGCAAGGACATGAATTTTGGGGGCCAAAGGGTGGAATGTTACAGATTGAATTATGTCACCCCAAAATGTGTTGTAAATCCTAACCTCTATGCCTGTGGTTATAATGCCATTTAGGAGTGAGTTATCTTTGTTATGTTAATGAGACAGTATTAATGTGGGGTGTATCTTGAGTCAGTCTCTTTTGAGATTAAAGAAGCAAGTAGAGAAGCAGTGATGGGGGAGGAGAGGTGCCAAGCCACGTGACGACTCTCTAGGAGAAGTTCAGAAAAGACAAGGACCTTCCTCAGAGCTGACAGAGAGAGAAAGCCTTCTGCTAGAGTTGGCACCTTGAATTCAGACTGCTAGCCTCTTAAACTGTGAGAAAATAAATTTCTGTTTATTAAAGCCATCCACTTGTAGCATTTCAGTTATAGCAGCCCTAGCTAACCAAGATAATCATATAGTGCACAGTCCACAATCCATCCCTGTGCTAGAGTTGGTTTATCTCTCTCTTCCTCCTATCTTGACTCCTCAGTCACAGGAAGTTCCAAATTCTTAGCTTTCTCTTATGCAGAGCAACTTTTCCACTTCTCTAAAGTCTTGGCCCTAGACACTCAAGCCTGCAGAGGGTTCACTTCTATGTTTAATTATCAAAGCATGTTTTTTCTAAATAAAGTCTGTTATCTTGCTAAGAGGAATTCTAGTATCAGCTACTGAAGGTAATATAAATTTATCTCATCACACACATGAGTCATCTACAAAATCAGCAACATTCTAAATTTTTTACATGTAATAGAAATTAGGTGAAACATAATTATGTAAGAAAGTATGTTCCAAATTCATTTCAGCATTTCAACTTCCAAGGTAAAATAACTACAGTACACTTTTTAAAACTTGTTTTAACAAAAAGGTTTATTTGTTACAAAATGTTAAATACTAAAGCTAAAAACATACAAATTCAGGTCAGGCTATATTAAAATACACACATACCCTTCTTTGAAAAATTATGAAAGGTTGAATTAAACAGATGTTTTAAATAAAATAAAGTACTCTTTGAAGACATTTTATGTCAGTGTAGTGTCATTTTTAAACAGTTGAATAGGTTAGCTATCTTGAAAACCAAATTTAGCCAATTCTTCAGTCCTCTTCTACTACCCAGTACAAAGCTTGGACCAAGGTAAATTTCAGGCATGTTACCGAAACTTCCCTTTTAGAAGTCTAGTCACCTATAATATGAGCACAGAGTAGCCAGAAGTATACAAAGAGTTAAATGACTAAAAACCTGTCGGGGGGGGGGAGGGCTTATTTTAATAAATCATATCACCTCTAAAATAGTTGGTAAATATATAGAAGCAGAGATCAGCACAAAGAATGTATCCTTCTAAAAATAATCTTTCAATTAAAAACAAAACAAAAACTCAAATAAAGCACTGATTTCCCCAAGATAGTTTGTAAGTATTAAGTTTCTTGTTATTTTAAATTTTGTAAATTCAAAGATATTTGAAGACTCTACATCCAATTGGGGTTAAAAAATAATTTGATTACTGTTCTGACTAGTTCTGGACAGCTGTCACATCTGGGTGAGTGTTGGAGTTTCTCACACAAGAGAGTGAAGAATTTTCATTAAAAAAAAAAAAGAACAAAAAAAAAACAAAACTAGGTAACTATGTGCTCAATACCAATGGAGCACCAGCTTCCAAACCCAACTCCCACTTGGATCAAATAATCTAAAATAACTATCTATAGACTATTTAAACATTAAATAGTATGTTTGAGAACATACTTTAGTTGCTTTAGAATTTATATTTCTTCATTTCCTAGATTAAGAGTTACTGATTTAGAATTTTAAATGTCATAATTCATATAGAGAGAAGAATACGCTTATACTGAAAGGCTATAAGTGTGTTTTAAAAGTTCTTAAATGTGGATGAATTTCTAGAAATTTACTATAGTATCTATTCTTTACAGTAATAATCTTGTCAAATGGGATTTGTAAATAGTAGATTAAAACAAAAGTAAAAACAAAAAAACATATAGTGCATTCCATTAATTTTCATTGGCACAGTCCAATTAAAATCAGGTTGTTTGGAAGGTATCACTAGAGAGATTTTACTGGTTTACTTTGCAAGTGTTGATATACATCCAAGGGCTAACTGTATGTGATCCTAATACTATAATGTAAAACTAATCAAACCTTTGAACTGCTAGAAAAAGTATGCATATTGTAACGCCACTGGAAATCAAAAGAAAACTATATTCCACTATTGCATTACAGAGGAAGATGATGCCAACAATAAATAGGAATCTAGTTTCCCATCTCTAGGTTTGTGAACTTCTGATGCAACTATTTCTACAGACATGTGATATAAGAGAAACTAAAGTTCTGCCTTCTATTCTAGTACCATTTTTTCTACATGTACCAAATCTTTGATTCGTATATCCTTTCTTTTACCTTACTGGGTTATCTTGAAGGACAGGATTCTTTCTACTCCTTTTCAAATAAGCTTAGAGTCCTTGGAAAGAATTCAAACCACTATCATCACTCTAATCTAGTAAACATATTAAAACAAGATAATCTTGAGCTTAGTGAATTCTCTAAAAACCATCTTTTTTTATGAGATTTTTTAAATGGGTATAAAGGCCACACTGGTCAATCACTCTTACCAACATCCTGATCTTTCAGAACGCAATAGAGCCAGCACTCTGAGTGTGCTAAAGCTAAGACAACAGTCAATGGAGGCCCTGGGCACTGCACACTTCTCTAAAGGAGGGAACTCCAGTATGTGCACTTCCCTCAGGGTGCACCTCCTTCCCTTCCCTTGATTATCAGCACCTCTCTTCTGCTTTCAGAGAATGATGTTTGAGCACAAAAACACATTCTATTTTCTTCCATCAAGGAAACACGGAGAATTTAGGTGGCTCACTGCTAAGTGAAAATCTCAGACTCCTTTTTCAAACATTATTAAGAATTTCAAGATGGTGACAGTTGAGCACTGCACCAAGCTCAGGGCTTTTCCAAGCATGAAGCCCTGTGTGACTACACAGATGACAGACCCATAGAGCCAGCCCCATTAGGTTTTCTGCCTAATCAGAATCCCAGGGAGGAGACAAGGTGGTCCAGGTGGCTTGTCTGCATGAATAACAGTTTTTTTTTTTTTCCACTATGGTTCAAACATGTCACTATTTTGGAACTAAGTTAACATTTCACTTTCAAAATCCCAGGTAAATTTGTACTAAAATCTTATGTTAGACTGATCAGTCTTCTAGATTTCTCATTATAGAAACAGTCATTTTGGGTCTTTAAATGACTGTTACTATAATAGAGGAATTAGACATGATGAAATTTCTGTATTAATCCAATCTGATTTTTTTTTTTTTTTTAATTTAAACATTTCTTAACTGGTAGGTCTTAGTATCATGAAAGCAATAGGGCCTCTTAAAGGGAAAGAGTAGCTTACAACAGCTTTTATATACTAGGTTTAAGCCTTAGTTCTAGCCTAAGGTATATCTTGTTCCCTTTTAATACCATAATAGTTTATTCAAAGAGAACTAATAATCACATTAAGCTGTATGGTGATTTTCAAAAAAACAGCCATATTGTTTTCTGTCATGAGAATTTTACTGGAACCCAGTGATATCCCATTCTTCATAGTAATAATTTAAAAAGGAAGTGTACATATATAAAAGCTCCAGGTTACATTACTAAGCAGCGGCATTTCCGGGAGTGGATATACTTCCTGTACTCCGCAAGCTGTTTCAAGTATACATTCGATGGCCATCTGTGCTTTTCAACAAAACTGCGTTCTTCCACTATAATTTTTAGAAAAAGAATGTTAAATGAATATATTTTAATTATTTCATATTTACATCAAAATAATATATGCACATCCTTTTTAAAAATCAAATAGAGTAGGCCAAAAAACAAACTCACTGCCATCGAGTTGATTCCGACTCATAGGGACCCCCTTTGGGTTCTGAGGTGGGAAATCTTTCAAGTAGAGAGGCTCACATTCAAACTAGCAAGGCCTTGCCAACCTTCTCAGTACTCCTTATATCCCTCCCACTCTTCAGAAAAGACTACTTTCAGCTCCTGGCTGCTTCTTCCAAGGTTTGCCTTCAAATTTCTAGATACCTCTTGATGGATCAAATTTGGAAATAAACTACCGATTTCGTACTTAATAGATGAGAATGTTGTATGTCCATCCTCCATCCCTCCTTCAAACCTTCCAAGATCATATCAATACAACTCTAATTAAATAATCAGGGTTTATGTTATTGTATACATTACAACTGTATACGCTAAGTCCACTGTTTCAAGTAGTACTTTATGTTCCTTTTCTTTTTCAATTAAACTTTTGTTTTTCCTAGAGATGATAACTGACTTGATTTTTCACTTACTTTTCTTTGTAGCTAACTTGCAGCTAACTTAACAGTACTATAAAGTACTCACAATTCTATTATCTACCCAATCACAGCCATCAGAAAATCTATCCATTTCTGTTGTGTTACTGCCCCGAGGCCTCCCTTCTCCCTAGAGCCCTGCACCTTCTTGTCTTCTAGGCCTGCTTCATCCATTCTCATTGAATCCCTCCTCTCCTGGACTCTTTTTTTTTTTGGTGAAGCACAACCTTTATTAGCTTCCTGAAAAGTCAGTACATAAAAGGATTTTGAGACACTGCTTGTGATGGTTTAAACTATCCACAATTGCTAATTGCCCATGATTAACCATTTGGATTGGTTTACGATTCTACGTTGAAATCTTGATTCAGAATGTAGAAGACAGAACCCCACTGTCATTCAGACTCATAGTCCTTGGGAGGTGGTGACCAAGGACTTTTTTTTTTTTTTTTTTAAATACTAGACATTTAGATTTTTCTATTTATATTGTGTTCTGACATGTCTCAGTCATGTAACATATATATTCATTAAAGTAATCATTCAGCAAATTCTCTCAATCTGTTTTTTCAGGCCCATAAGGAGCAGTATAACTTCTTGCATTGTTTCTTTGATAATTTCCTCCCCACTGTTTTTTTCTGTATGAACTACTATTAGTTAGATATTGCGATTCCTGGATTGAGCCTCCAATTTTTAAAAATCTTTCTCCTCTTTTTATCCTATCTTCTGAGAGATTTCTTTACCTTTATCTTTCAAATCTTTTATTTAGTTTATTTGCTCTTTGCTATCATATTTTTTATTTCCAAGAACACCTTCTTGCTCTTTTATGGTTTCTGTTTAATAACCTTCTCCTCCTGTTTCATGGCTGTATATCTCTTGTTCTTTGACAACATTAGAGGTTTTTTTTTTCCCCCCTAATGATTTTCCTTTATTCATGTGTCTTTCTGTTCCTCACATTCTTTCTCTTCTATTTTAATTTTTATTGTTTTGTTTTTGGTACCCATTTTTCATGTTGGCAATTATCTCAAATATTCATTAATTCTCAATTACTTCTTTTATTTAAGAGTGAGACACTGGAAAGATGTCTGGAAACCTTCGGGCGTGGGAAGGTCTTGCTGACTGGTAGAATATACTGTGGCATGATTGAGCAGATATCTGTCGGGTTCACAAATGTTTGCACCTATAATTCTTTTTTCTCTGAAACCAGAGAAGGATGCTTCAATTTCATGCCCAGAGTAGGAAGCTGAGGTGGGATGGCAAATGCTTGGCTGCCAGGCTCCTAGAAGCTGGATATGGGAAGGAGGCTGGAGGCTTCATTATACAGAAGTATACAGAAAATGAACACTGTATTTCTGTATTATATTTTCACATAACCATCATGTTCTCAGTCCATCTCCTTATCCCTGATCTCAGCTATATATAGAGTCCATGATTCCATAACTTTTTGGGTTTAATTTTCCCAGAAAATAAGCCTCCCATGTCTTGTGATAGGAGCTCTGATGGTATAGTGCCTAAGGCATTTGACTGCTAACCAGAAGGCTGGACGTTCAAACCCACCAGCCACACCTCAGAAGGAATATTGGGCAATCTACTTCTGTAGTGACACTGCCTTTTTCATTGACCTTCCACTTTACCAAGCATGATATCCTTCTCCAAAGGATATCAAACCCAAGGAGGGGTCAACTGTGCATTGGATCCAACTCCATGGCAGTGAGTTTGGTTTTGGTTTTGTCTTGTGATGATGAAGAAAGGCAGTTGCCTGGCTGGGTGGGATGTGACAAAACTTTTTAATCAACATTTAACTAATTTCATTGTTTTCAGACCCATCTCTCACTTTGCTTACTGAAATACTGGGTCCCTTAAATTTCTAAGGCTTTTGGGATTCTTTCTGCCAGGTGAGTCAGCTTGTTTTTATCAGTATTCTCTTTTATAGGCAACTCAGGTTTCCTTCTGCTAACTCAATTTCCAGTGCTCCATCTACTATTTAACCTCATCTGTTATAATATGGGTTAACAAAGTTTTGATCCAGGCTATGTACCTGGATAAAAAGAAAAAGGCTTAAGGAAATTAATTCTAGGGTTCATTAAGGAGGCAAAGGTGTCATAATCGACTCGATGGCACTTAACAACAACAGAATATTGTGCTAAATGAAACTGTAAGAAAGCTCCAAACCCAAACCCATTGCTATCTAGTTGATTCCAACTCATAGCAACCCTGCAGGACAGAGTAAAATTGCCCCATAGGGTTTCCCAGGCTATAGGCTTTACAGAAGCAGACTGCCGTACTTTTTCCTACAGAGTGGCTGATGGGTTTGAACCGGTGATCTTTCAGCAGGTGAACACTCAACCACTGCATCACCAGGGCTCCTAACTGTGAGAATGTAAGTGTAACTTACATTCCTGTGTGTTGCTGTTTCTTTTCGCAAGACAAGACTCCAGTCTGTAAAAATATGCCTAATATCTAATGAGCTATTTAAGTGTGTCCTGATGTACTACTGCTCACACGGACCTGAGATCTTTCACAGTCTCACTTTCCAATTTCTAACTACCACTGTGTGTGTGTGTGTGGGTGGGTGGGGGGGATCACCTAAAAGCAAATGATTCTTACAGTACCATTACTAACTTGGTAATTTTTTAAATCTGAAAATGGGCAATAGTACAAAGAAGCTGCAAAGAAATTGTAACAAGGATCTCTGCAAAAGAACTCCACAGCGTCAGGCTGCTAACACCAGAAATAAAAAAAAAAAACAGCCAACCATCATGGATCTTCTAATGGAATACACAATACCACCTAAGAAGTAGTCTTTAAAAAACAAACAAACAAACAAACAACTGAACTTGAATCTGATGAAACCTCTAGACCCAATTACAAATTTACAGAAAACACAGGGAACAGAGGACCATGTTAATTTTATCACCAGAGCTCCTAATTTCACCACAGAGATTGATAAACAAATAACCAAGTTCCTTCAATAAATAAATTACAAGGGGGAAGAAAGAGATGAAAGAGGAACCTATAAATTGAAAAATGCTTAAAAGATATATCAAACAACTGCAATGTGTGATCCTTATTTAGATCTTAATATATACAAACAGCTTTTTAAAATTATGACATTTATGAGATAACTGGAAATGTGAACACCTTCTAGATCATGATGATTAAGGAGTTCGTGTTAATTTTTACAGGTGCAAAAATGATTTGGAGGTAGTATTTTTTGAAAGCCTTTATTTTTGAGAGAAGTACATCACAACATTTATGCATTTAAAATGATATGGTGTTTGGAATTTGCTGCAAAAGAGAATTTGCTTCATGAGAGGGCAAGCTACGAGGCTAGCTAAAATGAGATTGGTCATGAGCTGACAACTACGTAATGGGAACGGGAATTCATTATACTTTTCTGTTTATTTTGATGTGTGTTTGGAAAAGTAAGAAAATATTTTCTAACACATAAAGAACTCTACACATCAGGGTTGGAATCCGAAGCAGAGACTGAAGTTACCACAGGCCAAAAATGCTCCGTAAGCACAGTCGTGCTAAGGACACAGAAGCCCCTAATTTGATTATATCCTAACATGTGTTTACACGTCATGTGCTGTCCAGTACTTCGTGGTCATCTAATCGAGAACACAGTACTTCCTCCCTCCAACTGATGCAGCATCCCCAAGTGCTCACTCAGCCTTTGCTGGATTAAGCTCATAGTGATAAAGAAATCTGAACTTTTCTTTTTTTTTAATTAGGATTTGGGTGAAGATTTACAGAGTAAATTCACTTTTCATACAGCAGTTCACATACACTTTGTCTCATGTCATTGACCAAAATTTACAATGCAGCAGCTCCCCTCCCACTTCCTCCCCATAGTTACCTCCTCCCAGTGTCCATCCCTT